AGAATGTTTCGCGATGGTGACTCTTGGGTTGTTGTCTGGGAGCTCTACAGGTATTTTTGTTTATCACACAACAGTCACCAGTTGAGACATGATTGGTCGACACCGCTACTGTTCTGCGGTTGTGTGTGCGTTGTGCGGATTGGTTGGTAAATCGGAGAAGAGTGACGATATTACATTAGAATGGTAGGCTTTCGTGCTGTTCTGTTTTTCTGTGCTTGTCAGGCGGATGTTCTTCTGAATCGAAGGACAGTCACTATAGGGGATTAGAATGGTGGGTTTCGCTGCTATTCTGTAGTTCTGTTTGGATAACGCAGACGTTGTTGTATATCACAGCATAGTCATCACAGCAGATTAGAATGGTGGGCGCTGCGGCTCTTCAGTCATTCTCTGTGCTTTAGAAGGGTGTTGTTGGAATTTGGAGAATTGTCACCAGGTCGGTATAGAATGGTCGGCGTCGCTGCTGTTTATCTACTCTCGTTCCGTCAGCATTATGTTCTTATGAATGAAGGAACAGTCGGCACCCGGGGTTCGAATTGTCGATTTCTGTAGAGTTCTGGTCTTCTCCTCTCAGTTGCGATGAGTAAAACGAAGGTGAATATCGATAAATTCAATTTCAGTTGTATTGTAAATTGAATTTATTTATATTTGGAATATTCTTCGGTCTGAAGTTTTCGGTCGGCAAATTTGAGAAAAGTTTACCGATAACAATTTTGAAACAAATGAAAATTTCAGTTATATTTTTCAACTTGTCGCAACTTATAGAGTTCGGGAGTTATTGGGTTTCACTATTTCAATTGAATGAGCGATAATTTGTAGAGTCCGCTGCAATATAGTAGCACTTTTTTATTCGTAATTGATTGTAGTTTATATAGTGCATCAGACAAAATTGTTGCTCTGAATGCGATCAAGGGTTTTTGATTTTGAACAGACTGTATGAGTATCATAGTAGAGTGGAGTCAAACATTGAATGGAGGTCAGTGATTGGGGTGCAAAAGCGTTTATAGACAAAAATAAGAAATTCCAAAAATGATATTCTAAAAAAGATCGCTCAGAAATATAGATGTTAATGAGCGTCTTCTCTTGACGACCACTGTTCGATTTGCCCACACCACAATCAGAACCAATATCAAATGGTCACAATAAGTTATGATACAATCTCCTTAAAAAATGGTTTTGTCTTTAAGTGAAAACGTTTTTAGTTCAGCGAAATCGATGACCCTTGCTGTTGCAGTAGGAGTATTAGTTTATCCATAACAAAAGAAAAAGCCGGTTAGTGCATTCTGTTTTTGACTTTCATTAAAGCTCTTCGGAGGTACATTTAAAGGCAAATTTTAATTCAGCTAAAAGGTAACGTCCTCTAGAAATTACAGCAATGGCACTAAATTTAAAAAATTTCTCTGATCAAAACCTTCCATTCTCTAAAGATTGCAGTAAATGTTAAAAACTCTCTGTTATCACAAACTTGCGTCCTCTACAAATTGCAGTAACTATTTCAATCTTAAAACGTTTTTCTTGTCCAAAAACTAACGACCTCTACAAATTGAGGCATGCTTAGTAAAGAAAATAAATTTTTATAAAAACCTTTGAAAACAATTTACTTTCGATATTCGGTCGCAGTAATTGAATTTTTAAAAGTTAAATATAAATTTTAATCGTTTTACAAAAAATCGACAAAAGTATCGAATTTGAACCCAACAAAATTTTAAAAATTTTAGTTTACTTAAAATTTATTTTCTTTATGTTCGCAAATGAGAGGTAGCCGTTCTATTATTCGGTCTACGTCGGCCGAATGTTCTTGTGAATCAAACAACAGTCAGCACGCGCGATTGGAATGGTGGGCGATGCTGCTGTTCCGTTATTCTATGTGCGTCAGACGAATATTCTTTTAAATCACAGACCAGTCACCACGCGAGACTAGAATGGTCGGCATCGCTGCTGTTCAGCTATACCCTGTGTGTCACATATAGGTTTTTTAAAACATAGAACGATCACCAGGGGTGATTAGAATGGTGAGCAAGGATTCTGTTTTGTTATGCTCTATATGTCACACGGATGCATGTTTAAATTAGAGAAAGACCACCACGGGAGATAAGAATGGTGGGCAGCGCTGCTGTTTAGTTATACCGTATGTGTCACATGGATGCTTTGGTAAATGAGAGAACGATTATCGCGGATGATGAGAATGGTCACCCGGGACGAGTAATCTAGGTCCCGGATCCCGTCGAATCCTATCAGAAATCTGGCTTAATCCGATAAATTTCGACAGGAATCCGACAATCGGATCCGATAGTTGGGAAATGTCGGATGCTCTCGTAATCCCATGCAAACGTGTTGAATTTACATCAGAACATTAGATATCGTTTGATCCCCTTCCCTACTTTCTCCCTCAACTGAATTGCACTGCATATTAATAGTTTAAATCTAGCTTGTTTTCAATTTTTATTTAATACAATATAAAATGAAAATAAAAAATTCCAATAAAACAACAAAAATAAAATAAAATAAATAAAACAAAAAAATTACAATAAAATACAAAAAAAATTAAAATTAAAGAAAAGCTACAAAATAGCCGAAAATAAATCAATTACAATAAAATAGTAAAAAATTAAAACTAAGTTAATAAAATAAGACAAAAAAATTAAAATTAAAACTAAATAAAATTAAAATAAGAATTAAATAAATAAAATAAATTACACTGTAAGATATATAAAATAAAGTACAATAGAATGAAAATAAAACTAAAAATTAGAATAAAATGAAATAATGCATAAAGAGCTGAAAAAAAATACAATGAAATAAAAAATAAAAAAAAAATAAATAATTTTTACTTACTGGTCATGAAATATATGCCATCATATAATTTGAAACAAAACGAAATAATAGTCTACAGACAAATCGAGAAAAAAGATCAAATCAATTGTGGTAACCGTTTAAGGGAATCCAACGGTTTAAGGAAAAATATGGACACCAGTATAGAGGCACAAGAAATCCATTAATGCGAAGATAAGATTGGTTGCTCCTATGACAAATTGAATGTGTTCATATCAGTGATGACTCACTTAGCAACTGTCAAGATGATAACTACTTGAGATAGTTTTAAAGATACAGACCATTTCGTACTAAAGAATCTGACTTATATTCTGAGACGGGAAAATTGTTTCTGATAATGGGATCCTTCTTGGCAAATATATAACTAAGAAGAAAAGTGAATTATTGATTGCTATATGATGTCAAAGCAGTAATCGTAAAAATCAACAACTTGATGAAACTTAAAGTTGAGTTGCAAGAATTATTTTATTAGCATTACTGAAGTCAACAGGATATAACAAAAGATTTTATAAAAATAAAAAAGAAGTTAAAGTATTGAGAACATGTATGAAACGCTACTTAAGCAATATAAAAAAAATAAGAAAAGCGAAGGGTGTGGGTGTGGGTGTCGGTGGGGATATGGATGTGGATGTATCTCGTTCTAATGACATCCACATCTACATCCACTCACACCTCACATCCACACTCACACCCACACCCTCCACAAGTAGACCGTATTGCCGCTAGTCACAGCCTAAAAGAATTCGTGCCCATAGGCTGTTGGAGTCAACTTATGATGGTTTCATTGAATTCCCGATCTGAGATAAAGCATTCATAGAAAAATTGAAAGACAGTATTTTGATCTGAAATTGTGCCCGTAAAGAAGTGTCGTGGTCATTAGAATATCATAGAAGTTCCAGCAAAATGGATGTTGTATTCTTAAGATATTGGATGCCTAAAAAAAACGAGGATATGTGGCAGAGAACTGAAAAAGTGCAACTGGTATTTGGGGTGTAGATGTGCGCCTCTAATCATACCCACACCCACTGTCATATTTAATACTTTTTAACAGCATCTGCTGCAGAATACCTTTATTTCAATCCAAAGTCTGTAATTTACAAAAAAATACCGATATTTACACAAAAATGAAAAAAATAAAATATAAATAAAAAATAAAAGACATACAAAATAAAAAGAAAAGCGTGAATACAATAATTATTTTATGAACGTTTTCTATTGTTTTATTTTATTTTATTCTATAGACTCCTTATTATTTTTTTCCTTTGTTTTATAGATGCTTTTCTTGTTTTTTTTTGTATTAATAAAAAAAAGAAGAAAAACGTCTTTAGAGTAGAATAAAATAAATAAAATATTTAAAAAAACTGTCTATTCAATAAAATAAAAAAGTAGTAAAAGAAATATATCAAATAATAATTGTATAATCGTTTTTCTAATGATTTCTTTTTCTCGTATCGACGTTTTATTGTATTATTTTATTCTTTTTTATGATATAGATGTTTTTCTTATTATTTCATTCTATTCTATAGACGTTCTATTATTTTTTGCTTAATTTTATAGACTTTTTCTGGTGACGTCTATAAAATAGAATGAAATAATAAGAAAAACATCTATATCATAAAAAAGAATAAAATAATACAATAAAACGTCGATACAAGAAAAAGAAATCATTAGAAAAACGATTATACAATTATTATTTGATATATTTCTTTTATTACTTTTTTATTTTATTCTAAAGACGTTTTTCTTCTTTTTTTTATTAATAAAAAAAAAACAAGAAAAGCGTCTATAAAACCAAGGAAAAAAATAATAAGGAGTCTATAGAATAAAATAAAATAATTAAAAACAATCAAAACACGTGTACACAATACAATAAAATTATAAAAAAATCGTCTGTACAGTAAAATTAGAGAAAATAGAGCAGCTGCCTAATTCGACTTATAATATAAATGGAGATCGAAAAAAAACACAGCACTCATGTTAGCAAAAGAATAAAACTTTTTCTTCGTCACTTATCGTTAATTATAAAACATAAATCATGGAGGCTTTACTGTAAAGCTAGGCAAAAAATTTTACTTTTTTAGCTATTTATTATTTATGATAAAAGCTATAAATGGTGATGACTTTACTGTAAAATTAGGCAAAAATTTTTACTCTTTTGCCATTTATCATTTATGGTAGAAGTTATAAATGGTGATGAATTTACTGTAAAGTCTTCATCATTTTTAGCTGTTATCATAAATGGTAAATGATAAATGGCAAAAAAAAGCAAAATTTTTGCCTAACTTTACAGCAAAGTCTTCGTCATTTATAGCTTTTATACAATTTATCTAAATGGGTGCATGTATATTTTATTTTCTTAGTTATTTTCGAAATGATTCAGCACTTCTGAAAGTGCATTTATATTATAATTCGAATTAGGCATCTCATGAGAAAATAATTAGAATCTCTATAGAATTAAAACAGTAAAAAACAGTCTATAAAATAGACTTACCATGATGAAAAAAAAATTAAAGAATAAAACAAAAAAAAACAACTAAAAATTGTTCTTCATTGTGTCGAGTTTGTTTAAGATTGAAATGTTCATGATAAAGTTTAATTAATCTAAAACAAAAACAAAACATAATTTATGTAAAGAATAACTCCATTGTGTCATTGTGTCGGTGGCGTATCCTATCGACATGGGACGCGTTAGTCGTGTTTTAACTTTTCTAACAACTATATATATACATACAGCACATGTGAAACTGATATAGTTATTTTTCTTTTAATTGATATTCTACGTCATTCTCAAATACTTTATTGTTCTCATAATGAAAGAAACAATACGTGAAAAACTTGGCAACGATTATTCAACTTTAATCGTTGATGGAAATTCGAAGGAGACGACGAAAACAATCAAACAACAGCTCAAAAAACTATCTACAAAAAACCGTCGAAAAAAAAGCAAAAAGCCATACTTAATGATATTTTATTTTAAAAACGGAGATAAATGAGTATGAAATAAAAATACCACTTTTTCTATTTTATTTTATATTATTTAGATATTTCTGTCTCACCGCCTCGGTGTCGTCTTCGTCGTAATCATAAACAATCAACAGAAAATAGTCATGATGCTGAAACATTGAGTAAGTGTATGAATATTCGATTTTTTATTTAGATTAGTGCTGAATTTTCTATAGGCAAGTGTCGATAATCTACTTTGATAAAGTTATTAGAAAAGTTGAACATTACCAAATAGATTTGTGTTTTAGAACTTTTGGATAATAAAATATATTAATGAGTTTGTAAAAACTGCTCTGGTATAAGAAACATTCGTATTTGAATATCTAACAACCATATAGAATAAAGAGAAAAAAAAATTTGAGTTATGCGTTTGATTTCGATAAGATGCATAATTATAATGGATAATAAAAATTCGACATATTTTGTTTTAGCATCACTTCATGATCATGCATCATCAATTGATAGAACAAGTTCAAATGAAGTCATTGAAGATGTTGATTTGTAAGTTTAATTGATTCATAAAAATTTTTTCTTCAATTAAAAAGAAATGTATATTAGAAATTTTGTTAGATATTAAATAATACATTTAAGATAATACCAAGCATGCATCAGTTCATAATATTAGATTGTAGCAAGGAAAAAATTTCTTTTTCTGTTCTTCTAGATAAAAGGTTATATCATCTTCATTGTTTTTACTCTTTCAAGTACTATTGCAATATTTCTCGATTAAACCATTCGTTACTAACTTATAGGAATTAATATCAAAGGTGAAAACAAGGATATGAGAACCAATTTAGAAAGTACTGATACAACAAATTAATTAATATTTTTTTTTCATTGATTTTATTTTTTATATCTGAAAAATCTTTGTGCATGCTCCGTATAGGATTAGAATGTGAGACTATTGTTGATTCACAAGTCTTTTATTAAACATTGTGAACTTATATTTTCTCTGGTCATCTATGTAACGAAAATGAATGATTTACACCATTAATACCTCATACTCGATAAAGTTCAGTAATATCTCAAAAATAAGATTGTCGATAGGTCGAGCTGCCAATTAGATATATATTGGTTGATGTGTTCATTTCAGTTATTGGAATGACCAGAGAAGACATATATGAACAATGTTGGATTAAAACTACTTGCACGAGTTCAGCAAGGTTTTTTCAAAAGAAAAGTGTGGTCTTTTTGAGAGATTTTTAAAATGGCACAGATATTTTTACGCGATGAGAAGAAACAAGACAATAAAAGAAGTTTTCGAATCGAGACAATTTATACAAATCTTTCTTCTCTTTCTTTTACTTAGTGCATTGAATAAAATATATGGATTTTTATTTTCGAATGAATTTTTATTTGTTGGATACCATATGAAATCATAGATATCGTATAAAAACTTTCCTACAGCTGCAAATTAGGTAATTAATTGTGACATACTATATCGTATGTACATACAAGAAGAATCGTAATTGACCGCATTGAGTTCAAGAATTAAGAAATAGGATTTATTAAAGGTTAATGCATACGAGAATATATCTATTAAAATTATTATTAAACTGAATTAAATGATCTCGAATATAAGAACTATTCTGTAAAAACAGTGAACAGGAAAAACTACTAGGTTTTTTGTTTTTTGATTAAAGTACAATGTGACTTATTGATGAGTCATATCAGTTCAAGTGTGTTAATGTTCTTTTAACATTAATCATTGTTATTCACTTAAAAATTTGACTAAATATTCAGATTTTATTTAATAAGTAAGGCTAATCTTTTTTTAAGATCTTGCCTAGTTTTAGTTATTTTGTGCCAATATTTTTTTGAGAAAACCTTTTTGAAAGACTTCTTCACTATTTCTGTAACCGTTGATCTCTCATGCCATTAAATTCATGATCAGATGCATATTTATATAAAGTAATAACTTAATTTTTATATTTAGTTTAGGGAATAATACTTTGATTATGAGAATAGAGAAACGCTGGTTTTCATAAAAAAGATTTAGTTAAAAATATATGCTTTTACTTGAAAAAAAACATGTTTCATTAACTAATATTTATTCTTAAAATTTAATTATTCTTTTATATAAGATAGAAAAGTCTTTGTAAATGAAAAAATAAAATTGTGTTTTTTTTAAGTAATCAATTTATTTTGTTCTTCAGACTAAACATCAATGCAGATAATATATCATCATATACAGAAGAAAATAGAGATAAAACAATTATTAAAATAACAACAATAATTAATGATTCATTTGTTGATCATCAATTGAAGCCAATCAGTGATAATCAATGTTTCAATGATATTGTACCATTTAATGACTTATCCAATAACGTTTTATCACATAATCATCTTCAATACAATATTGATAATTTGACAATTAAAGATCTTGCATCAGATAGTAATCAATTAAAAGATATTAATATTTTATCAATTAATGGCTGTTCATCTAATGATCGTTCATTATTAGATGATAATGTTGTCGAATCTCATGATGATACAGAAAATGAAAATAGTTTGACATTACCTAGTCTTATAATGAAATTACGAAAAGAGAGAAATCAAGTAGAACAAAAGCTTGATTCTCAAATTGAACAAGCTGTTGCTGAATTAAAAAAAGTCAGTAATAAACTTAATGAGTTAATTCAAACAAAAAAAAAGAAAAATGAAGAATATACGAATAAAATCAATGAATTAACACAACGGGAAAAGTAAATATATATATATACATTTTTTTTTGAAAAAAACTAATTTCAGTTATCTTTATATAGATTATGTGCCTATGAATTAAATAAAACACAAGTAAAACAAATACAAAATCATAAGTTTATTGCTAATGATAAATAATGGTAAATATTATTAGTTGATATTTAAAAAAAAATCATTCATTCAATAACATATTTCACCAATTTCTAATATTTATATTTTCAGATTGTCCACGATGGAAAAAGAGTTATGTGAAGCTTTCGTTGTTTTCGGTTTTTCAAAGCTTTTGTGTTTGTTAATTTATCTATTTCTTTTTTTGTTGTGTTTTTCTTCTTTATTGGCACTTTTTCTTATATATATATATGTATAATTAGATGTCTAATAAATAAATGATCCCTTGTGTAAACATAATTCAACAAAAAACTTTTTTCGTCAGATCTTTAATGAAAATATTCTAAGAGTGATTTTCATACCGTTTTGAAATATTTTATTTTAAAAGACTAAAGCGTTAGTATTCTCAATTAAATAAATAGTCGAAAAGAATTTAAAACAACTATTAAATGCTGTGGCCAAAAGTTCTGAGAGTTTAATTAAATGTGAACGTTTTTTTATATAATAATAATAATGATCAATTCTTACTTATTGTTGAGTAGGTATGTTTTATTCATTTTCTATAAATGTTTTAATTGATTATTTTACAAGTTATTGGAGAGAACATTTATCGAATAGAGTCTTTCCACAATTAAAATGCTCACAAATTTTCTCCATTAATTTTTTGCTAATGAAAGATCAAACGTATATTGAATAAATAGCATGTTTCACATTCGAAAATCTATCCATTAAAAAGTCATATAGATAATGTAGACGTATTTAGTTTTTATAATCTTGGTTCTGACAAGAACTTTTATTGTAAATTAAGTAAATATTTCATAAAATTATAATAAGAAATAAAAACTATACTCATCCAAATTTAATACATTACAAATAAATATGATAGCATTATGATTAGATATATCACGAGACTACTTTGTTTTATTTGGTTGACGTGCAGGTATCCCATATATATATATGTATAGACTCTTTGTAGTGGATTCGTAATGTTGTTGGTTCAGTTAATTTGAGACACTAAATATTCTCTGAATCGAATCTCAATTATTCCGTACATTCAGTTTTTGTCAATTGATATAATAAAAATGACAAGATCTTTCACTAGATAGAAAAGATGAGACACTAAGCACTTCTTAGAAAATATTGTTTTATCTACATGAAAAACTCTGTAGTTAAAACATTTTTTATTTTTATCATCATTACTTTATGAACAATTAGAATCACGTAAAGCTATAAACTAATTGATGAACAACATACACTGTATAGAACGATCACAAAAAAAATTTCTTACTATTTATTAGCTGAGTGATCTCAAGTTGAATTGAGTTAATAGTTCGTTAAATTTTTTTTTAATTATGTCTAATTCTTCTTATGTGTTGTGATAAACTTAATCAGAGCTATAAGACACTAAAGTTGCAAACAAACTACATAACAAATAGGCATTGGATGATGCAAATGAAGTACAAAGAAATTCAAAAAAAAGAATTACAAAATAATTCAAAATTCTTATATTATATATATTTATAGAATTATATATATAATTGTAATAAGCTTATTAATGTCTGTCAGAACCGACTAGGGTCTCGACATGAGTGTCGCAATACAACTTACATTACGTCTCTCTTGATGTGGATGCCGTGAAACTCTGATAGCCTCTAATAGAACATGGTAAACCCGGATAGATATTAGCCTATGAGAATAAATTTAGTATATTTATATATAGATATATAGTATAGAACTTTTGAATTATTTTGTACTTCGTTTGCCTCATGAACTCGACTAACAACAAATAGTCGTACTTGTAGTGAAAAAATTTAACCACAAATAAAATTTATCATCTTCTTCAGAATCTACTAAATAGCATGCATATACACGTAACACAACAAATTAGAGTCACAATTCAAGAACGCACGACAAAAAACAATTAGTTTGATTGAATACATACTTGAAAAAGAGTATTACTACGTTGTTGAACAATGCCAAGCATGACCGATGTCAATTTCATTTGAATATTGTCATAATCTGTATAATTTGCATCAGTTTTAATATCATCAGATATATCTGATGATAATATGTTAGTCATTTGAAATATTCGATCAAATAATTTCATAATCAATTCTTTAAATTTTACTGTTGATTGGCAAACTTCTTTCTCAATCTATAGTAAAAGAAACGAATACATACTTTGTTCTATTGTATGTCAGATGTATTTATTCAAAAGTAAATATTTAAATATTACCTTGGTAAGATCATCTCGAATGTCTATTGCAGATGAACAGTCAACACAGATGATTTGAATGCAAATAGTACCGAGAAGATCTAATGTCACCTTTGTTTTTTTAAATTATTTAAATCAATACTAGGCAAAATTGATAAAAATAATGATATTATATATGTTTGTCTTGAGAGTACGAAGGTGTTTGTCGTACTAATTGACGACTTATACGTGTTAAACATTGCATGAGTGATATAAAACGATGTGCTTCAGTCGTATTGTCCATTGACAAGAAAAGGCTAATCAAAAAAAAATAAAATGCAATGTTTCAAGACAAAAAATCAAATCATATATCGAATTTGTCAATAATAGATGGAATGATAAATTCTGGGCGAAGTATCGATAAATATTGGCAAGCTTCAGCTGCTTCTTTACTATAATTCTTATTAAAAATTGACATAAATACATAGTCTTTAATACAATTAACAAAATTGGTGATATCACCTTCAGTAATTCGATAAGATTTTTGTGGTATGAAATATCAAAGAGGAGAATTTTGCGTTCTCTACAATATTTTCAATAATGAATTCTTCTTTTTTTTGCTTACCATACAGACAATGATTATACTCACAAATGAACTCGACTAATAAAATGTTGAGCGAGATGTAAAACAAATTCGACAAGCCGTTTTTGAAAATTTCATGTATTCAATAGATAGTAGAAAATTTTTATAGCAATGAATAGATCGTGTAAATATTTCAGATATAAACTTTTATGGCCAATCATGACAATGATCCATTTTATTGCACTTGCCATTGAATAAGAATATTCGTGTGTTGACATTAGCATTTTTCCTGTCGGCAATGGCAATCTACGCAGAATACGTGTAAAAGTTTAGTGAAGGAAAAAAAAAGAAAAAGATTTTTAATAATGACAACAATTAAAAAAGAATTCTGACACCTGTTCTAAACACGGATCTTAATCGATATAGCCCAATGTTATGCCAAGCAAGTCGTGCAAAAAGCTCAACAAAACTCTAAATTTAATCAACCCATATAAAGAAATCCAATAAAGTATTAAACTTACTGATTTCCATTCGGTATCATTATGAATACTTTCCCAGATATCGAAAAACATCATCAAAAAATTAAGACGCAAAGAACTTAAGCATACTTATATCCTTGTTCATGTAGTTGAGGTGGTAAAATTAGATGAACTAGTAGAAAAGTTTGAAAAAATTTCATAGTAATATTGATCGAATTCGAATCCATAGAACACAATTGCGGACGAATTTCATCGAGAATTTCTCTAGTAGTCTTAACCGAACATTATGATGAACAATAGTTTATACATCGAATAAGTGATTAACTCAAATCACTTGACACAAAGAATAACAAAAATAAATTCACTTGCAAATGTTCAATATAAAAGTTGCATACTTATGAATAATAACTAATCCATAGATTTTATTAGTATTTTTTAAAATTCATGTTCCAGTGATAGAGTATGCGCCAGTCAATTATTAGATTATCTCAATCAATCAAAAAAGTACTTCTGAAAAGTATTATCATCACTGTTGGAGTTAAAACTGGCTCACTTATAACTGGTCAACTTTTCGGGGAAAATGTTGATTGAGTTATAACTATCGACCATAGTTTTAACTTTCAACCGTAGTTATAACTATCAACTACAGCTATAACCTTCAATCATAGTGGGTGTGGGTGTGGGGTGTGGGTGTGGGGTGTGGAATGTAGGGTGTGGGTGTGAGTGTAGTTCTTCTTTTAACGCAGACTCACACCCACACCCACACTCATTTATCAAAGCCGAGATATACGTGAAATAAAAAATGTTACCATATTGTGGACACCCTGTAGTAAAAAAAAAATGTCACTTTTTTTTCTAATACATTTTTTAGACTTTAAGTTGCATTTGATGTTAAATGTAAATATACCAAAAGATGCAGCGCGTTCCGGGCTTTCTTCCTATATATGATAGGTTAATAAATAAAAGAAGTATAGCAATAAAAACAAAAAAATATCAAGAGAGGAAAATCAATTGAGGCGCACTGTAGCAAAACAATTGGTAAGAAATCATATTAACACTTTGTTGCTAGTTTCTGATGAACTAAAGAAGAAAAAAATTATCCATGTCACAGGACCACACCTGTTTGTAGTTCTATAAGTTTACATAGGATCTATTTGCTCAAATTGACATGAACATTGTTACTTTTTCTGATATCATTGTGATTAAACATAAACTTGTTTTGTTTCCATTTTGTAAGTTATTCATAAATTTTCTACAGCATATTCAATATGAAGAATATGACAATCGAATACCGTCAAGTTTCATTCTTAACGAATGTAATGAGTTCAGGATGTCTTGCTAAATACTTTTAGCAAGTTTTATCTACTAACTTGTTGAAAATCTTTTCGTAGAATGTTATAGAAACTGGACAGATATCTCGTAAGTACTCATGTACTGAGACAATTCTCATCAGTGAGTACCCGACAAGGCATCTTGCTAACAACTGACTGAACACACTGGCGTATTTTCATTTCTTTTTCTGATAGAATTAATCAACGAACTATTATTTGATAGGAAAAAAAACTATACTTGCACAAACAAGCTGTTTATATAATTCTTTTTGCAAACTGAACATCTATAGAGAGGGGATGCCTTTTATGGATTACCTCCAATTCTATTAATTCAATAAAATGAATCGATCTTGACAATAAAGGAATGCGAAAATACAGCGTGTTGATAAACTGTCTAGATTTTTTTAAATATGTTCTTGAACAATATTTGCTAATAAGTATAT